ACAATTTTTTATGGAAGTATAATTGATACTGTACATGCAATCTATGCTGCATTCCATACATATCTTCTACTTTAATATACAAAATGTTGGTGACATTTTCATATTTGATCTTTGATCTAATTAGTTTCTCAGTCTCTGAGGAAGCCGCATGATTAGCAGATTATTATTTTGCTAGCATCCTGCAAGTTAAATTGAAGTAGTAAATATGCGTTTGGCTGCTAGCAGTTTTTCCAAGCCACCAAAAAACTAGCTAGCTAGCTACCTAACCTCATTACTGCATATCAATTGATTTTATGATTGTATATGTCAAGTCAAATTCTATCTGGTCAATAACTGTATCAAGCTGATAATACTATTTTCAATTTGGTATAAATCGAGCCAGTATTAAACCTGCAATGCTTAGCTTTGAATTAATTGATTTCAACTTTAGTAGTATCCGATAGAAATAATGCAAGTGATGCAGCTATAAAGCACGCAGTGCCCATAATAATAATAGGTAACTTGCAACCAAGTCCCAACAGTAAACCGAATGTCATCGTTCCTATAACGGCTCCAATCCGACCACAAAAATTGATATAACCATTTGATGTTGATCGCAGCTGTGTTGGATATAATTCAGAAGTCCATACATTTAATATGGTCCATGCGGCGCCAGATAGCCCAGTAAATAGACATGAAAATACGAGTACACCTGTTGATGTATTAGTGAGCCAAATACTAAATATGCTTATACTTGTTGCCAGAGCTAATCCGCTAAATAATAGTCTCCTACCGGATACGTTAATAACAGGGATGAATGTAGCTTCGATAATTAAAGTGGCAAATGTAGTCAGCAATAAATCACGATAAATGCTTGTATCATGAGTATTTGCTATACAAATTGACGATTGATTTAATGCTGGTGTGTTCATGCTGTGACTTGAATTAATTGAAATGGAAGGACCTTGACATTTTTGTCCATGAGTATAAAGTGAAAAAAATGTTGGTAGCCAGAGCCATAGACCATTAGTACAAAAACAATATAAAAACCAAATAACAGTAATCATTAATGTTTGCTTGCGCCATTTTCTTGAATATAGTATTGCATATTGTCTCAGGAAACGTTGTAATTTAGAATAGCAAGAGTCGATATTTTTACTTATATCATTGTCGTCATTAACATCATCAACATCATCTGATAGATGTAGATCGTCGATAGTTGGTAAATCGGATAACTTGATACAAAATGGTTGATTTCCATGTTGAGTACGACACTGACTATTAATACGATGTATTGCATGTAAAACTTTTAATGTTTTCTCTCGTTTTCCCTGTTTAATCAGAAATCGAGGACTATTTGGCATTAACGATAAGCTAATCAATGCTATCAAAGGGGGTATTGCACAAACTATTAGGAAAATGCGCCAACCCGTTAAAGTAACCTGACCAACAGAGATTGCAACCGATTGTGTGATAATTAAAAGTGCCATTAAAGCGGCATAAATATTACCAAAACACCAATAGGCATTGGATGATGACGCTGCCATACCTCGATACTTTCGAGGGAAAAATTCAATTGCATAAGTTAATGTTACTGGAAGTACGCCTCCACATCCTAAGCCGTTAAAGAATGCCATTACAACTAACATTTCATAGCTAAAGGAAAAAGCTGATGAAAATGTAAACACAACATTCATAGACAAAGCTAGTAATAACACTTTCCTTCTACCATAGGAATCTCCTAATCGGCCCCAAAACGCACTACTGACAGCAATACCAATGAGTAAAGACATACTTAACCATATTCGATTGTCTGCATTAATATTTAAATCGCAAGCTGACATAACGATAATACTTGATGATTGAATAATTAAACCTTCTGCTGTAAAGCATAAACCGCAGACAGCACTGCAAGTAAATTGGAATAATCCACAATTGAGTGATTCTGCAATATCGTCGACAGTTAATCGTTTGTAGTGGGTACTTTCCTCAGTATATTCATTAGTCGTGCTAAGTCTACCTTCAATTAATAAATTTGTACAATCGCTGAATTCGGTTTCGTTATCCGATTCAATAGCAGCTGATAATTTTTGAATTTCGAAATTATTACTGCCCATCTCGGTTTTGCGCTGTAAAAGTAGATTGTAAAATTGACTTATAAAATCGACGGTATAAAATTTTACAGCTTTGACTAGAGATTGGCGTTAATTTCTAAACAGAAATTCTGTTATTCTTGTTGGCCGGATCGAATTATGAACGTCTAGCACTCATATATTACTGCTACTATATTCGCCTGTACTCTACAGCAATGATTGCAATAGTCATCGAGTCTTTCTAACATTTTTACCTGAGCTTCTTTATTTTGAAATAATGATATATATATATTAGTACTGTACTCATGTCTTACCACTATAACGTATATTAGCCAATAGGAGTACAATGCAATGCTGAGCATTTATACACTTTACAACGAAGGTACTTTTTGTATTCATGCAAATGCATATGGCATAAGAATAATAGGAACATATGTTGACTCATCCAGATGGTGCAAGAAATTTACTCACTGTTCAAACACTCTATAGTTTATAACTATAGATAGACAGTAGAATAAGTTCCTAAATACCGTAATTCTAGAATAGCAATATTGATCTGATAAAGTTATTCCTATAGTATACTAGTTCCATGTTAAGCTATTTCCCCTACATTGAATATAGAAATAGGGCAATGTATGTTACTGTCATTTTCTCAACATTTATTATATCGGGCAAAGAAAATTCTTGATACAGATCAAATAAGGCGATTGGAGTATAGGTTGTGCTAAGTACCTGCGATTTCGTATCATTTAATAAAAAAATTAGCATAAGTGAAATTGTATCAGTGTTAGCACGGCATCGTAGTTAAAACATAAGAGTCTGCTATTATACCATTTAAGGACTTAAAGCATCATCCTTAATTCTGATATAAGCACATCGGACAGCAATCTGATCAAATCAGAAAAATTCCTGTAGGCCCATTATTTAGAGATTATGTCTTTGCGAATGATAATAATTTATTCAGAAACATAAAATAGCTTGTATACTTATTATCATTGACACCTAAGGCAGTTAAATTAATGCACTTTCATACTTATATTGACATATTCATCCAATCGAGGCTACGGAAGGCAGAATTCTATATTTTGGTATTCTTCACACAAAATTATGCTTCTTTATAATAAAATCATTCCTCTCCAATCAAGAGAGGTGATTTTGGATTTATATCATGATAATATCTTAACTTACACAGGCACATAATTATCCTTTATTAAACTGCCCTTCTTTTTAAGCTGTAATGGTTAGAGATTTATATTCCGGGACTATTTATGTGATACATTGTACACGCCATTTTGCTCGTATTAAGTATTTTCTCATAGCTTAAGCTACAATAATCAGAGGTTTCGAAGTTAACATCTGTTGCATATTTATGATTTAAAGCCGCTTTTTTACTTGAGCTAGAATAATCAGAGATTTATGGCTTAAGAATTTATACTTGAAATTGCATTTTTACTTAATAAAATCAATTACTCGAGCTACGTCATTATAAATTAAGGCAGAATGAGCTTTATACCTTAATATCATTTACGAGTAATTATACTGCCGCAAACACGATGTCCTAACACGTAATTAATGCAGCCCCCGCGACTTAATCTCTAAAAGCTTCACTTTGTAGTTATGTATGTGCTTAAGTTAATAAATACTTGAGCTACTTGATTACAGCATATAATAGCTACAGCTTATTTTATAACTATCTATCCATTTTGTTGTCCTCGCACATAATACAGTCCTCCTACTCGGGTAACCGGAGCTCCCCACCGATTCGCTTATAGCTTAGAATTATCTTTGCCTACATGCTTAATATAGACTATTGTTTGAGTTATAATATTTTAGATTTAAATTTAATGCTAAATTAAATCTCGTCAACTGGACTTTGTTCAAGTAGATTTGATAAAATTGTCAGATAAAAATAGAAATAATCTGAAAATATGAGTATATACATCAAGTGCAGTTATTTCGTGTTACATTGAATGCTGTCTATACGCGGTACTTAAGCTAAACAGTTCAATATTTTTAATCTTAAGATTCCATAGACAAGTGCTCGGTCATACTTATGCCTATATTTAATGCATTCTACCGATTAGAACAGCAATAACTGAAGATATTAATACTTTAAAACACTATTTATGAGTATATAGTTTTATCTGAAATATAATTAGCACGAACTATCGGAAGTTTCCATAGCTATAGATTTACACCACAAGACTTAACCTAGAGAGGTAAATAAATCCTCTCTAGCTTTATAAAGTTCCTTATTCGAAGCATTCCATCTATTCCTGTTATTTCATCTTGCCTAAACTAAAACAGTTACTATACAGCTGTGTGTTAATGCCAATTAAATGTATCATTAAAAGAAATAGCGAAAAAAACAGTTAATAATTCTTAACGCATTATGGTGACGCCCAGTTCTAAACTATTGATCAGAAACAATTTCCTAATCCTTATAGTATGTCACAGCAGGGATCAATATAGCGTAGCTTGCGTCATTTTTGGCACCAAATTAGCAAGTACAGATCGTAGTAGTCTGTTACACAAATATTATTTTGTGATATATAAGCAAAATAATGGTATATAATAGGGCAAGTCTAACATTGCTATTCTTCATTGTAATGCCATATTAACAATGTTTGAGATAATAGCCATGGAATATACTTTTATCGTCTTATTTGTGTCATTGAATGGTTGCAGTCACATAGTTTATTAATCGATTGATGTAGAATGAATAGATGAACATGTAAACACGCAAGAGATAGTAGCAGATTAATCATGTGTAGTCAATTATATTCAGAATTTTAAATTCCAAGCTGACGCGACAGTAAAATTAGTTAATGATCGTGGGATGAATAAATTACTTTCTTCAAATCATAATATTTTTCGATTTCTAAATCTAAAATACATTTCCTACATTTTAGTAATTAGTTAACATCTATCTATGATAATGAACCATACTGATGCTTTGATGAACAGCTATTATTCACTTTTGCGTTATCGAAAGTTCCTATTGAATATCATCTAATGAAACTACTAATTTAAATTCGGAGATACTAAAGGAGTTATCAGGAAAAAGTGTTTCGGTTATGCGATCAGTACTAAGGGCGGAATCTTACTTTGATTAAGTGCCTGTTTAATTTCATTTCATCCGTAAAATTAAATTTTACATCGCTACAACATTCGTCCCATCCATTAGATCGACCTGATATTAAGGTGTTTTTACGTCCATTTTTACTCAGATATGAAAATTAAATTGCATTAATTTGCGAAATCTATAGCATGCATTAGAATAATTTGATAACCATTATCTCTACAATAGATATGATGACAATGAGAAATACGCTTTCTTATGTACTTGATTTACATGAGAATGACTCACGAAGTCGATGGCAACATCCCTACTGTGTTGCTATGACTAATCCATAAGAAAAATACGGACAAACTGCTTTATTTCAACTTTTGTGCCGACAGTCTATGCTTGATATTGTTATACTTGTATGCATAAAATAAGAGAGATAAGTAAGCTGTCATTCATTATAAAGCTATTAGCACATATTTTTAGCCTACTTTGTTAATACAGTGCCGTTCGAAGGCTTGTTATTACATAATAATTACCAAGATATAGCATCGGTAAGTACATGTGCATGTCACTAGAAGCAGCTTGTTTTAAATATGAATCATAATCTTGTGAATTTGAATAGGATTCCCTGTAGTTATTCCTTTCATCCTTACCACATTAACTTTCATGCGTAACATTATTAATTTTCAGGCATTTGAATCGATTTACTTACAGTCCTATTGGCACAACGGTAAAACATTTTTAAGCTTGCACTAGATAAAATCGATGAAGAAACGTCGTATGAAACTTAGCGATTGATCATTAAGACGGAGGAAAAGCGGAAATTGTAACAGCTTAATAAATGGTAGCAAATTTAGCTTCCGTCTTGGCAGTCATTTTTGCCATTGCTATCATCTGCCATGGCCAAACTACGACAAGTAAGCACACTGAAATGCTAATATAGATAATTTTTCACGTACGATATTTAAAACTTTAAATATTTTAATGTCATCAAGCGCTATAATCAATGTCTTCAACAAATGAACCAGTGCATAACTTTACAGTAAACTAAATTTAAAGCTTTACATTGACATCTAATAGTTTCCACCATTGCAATGGATAGTCTTCGCCGCTAGTGTTAAATAAGATTTTCTTTAATTTACTTTCCGTAGAAATGGTCGAGATCACTATTATTTCAGCTAAGAAATATAGAATATAGATTTATTATAAAATATCACTTGAGATACTTTATACGTATCCTATAGCGCTTTACATATAATTTCCTAAGGCCAAATCGTCTACGTCCGTCATCAGTATTATTAATAAGATTATTCTTAATTGTCTTTCATGGACAAGGTCAAGATCACAGTCGTTTCAGTTCAAAAATATAAGATATAGATTTATTAATAAATATCCTTTGAGAAGCGTTATGCGTATCCAATAGACTATAACATGATACAAATAATTTACTACTACCACAATCGTTTACGTCCATTATTAGTATTAATGTGTTTTTCATAAATGATCAAGATCACTATCCCTTCAAGTAAGAAATATAAGATATAGACTTATTAATAAATATTCTTTGAGATGATATATGCGTGTCCTATAGCGTGTTACACATAATTTTCTACTACAAAATTCTACGTCGATCGTTAGGGTCAAGTAAGCTTACCCTTGGCATTTCCATGAAAATAGCCCACGACGAAGACATGATTTCAATTAAGAATATGAAAAGCAGATTTTTCCATAAAATATTCCTTAAGCTACGTTATGTATATCCTATATTGTACTTTGTTCCATTTTCATTAGTAACTATACATCATCGCACTGTCGTGTGGAAACACGATCAATACTAAAGAAATTGCACCATCTACAAGGAAGTAATTTAAAAAGAAAGGGAGTAAGAAAATCCCAAATTTTAACATTTTGAAAGATCTGTTTATGAAAACATTCTGGCAATTACATTATGCTC